CCCCCCCCGTTAAAGCGCGGCGGCTATGACCTGCGGGCGCGAATTCCAAACACTATGTGCTGAGGGCGGCGTATACACTCGGTTATGCACTGCAAATGAAAATGACAACACGTACTAGACACAACTTTTCGTGTTTTTCTTTGTTTTCAAGATTTTTTTTTTCGTAGGGTCAGTCACAGCGAGCGAGGAGTGGCCTAACCTCCGCTGCCGAGCGGGCGCGAGCCCTAGTGCGAGCCGTTTACACAGGAGGGACGGGGGAGAGAGAGAAAGGGGGGGAGGGAGAGGAGGAGAGTGGGACAGAGAGAAATAGGTACGAGCCGTATATGAATACTGCACACGGCCCTCCAACACAACAACCGGCCCGGCGCTCCTTACGGCTGCTTCATCATGCACTCTGTCTCTCCCCTCCCCTCCCTCTCCTGCCTTTCCCTCATCCCTTCCTTCTGTCCGCACCAGTTCACCCCTTTTCATCCCCCCGTTTCCACCCCCATGCTTTTCATTTTACTCCTACATTCAACCCCCCTCCACCTCCCCTCACGGCACCTGCTCTATCTTACAAACCGACCAGGGCAGGGCGGCGGTGGAGACCGGCTCGGGGTGGTAGCCGCGGGGACGCGGGGGAATGGGGAGGCTTTTTCAAATGGAATCCTAAGGTAGGACCAACCCGGGCAGCCGCACCGGCAGCCGCACCGGCAGCGGGGCGCGGCGGGCGGGCCTACCTCGCGGGGCCGGCCGTGCGGTGGCTCAAAGGCTCGCGAGCAAAGACACCAGGACGCCAGGACGCTTTGCTTTTCCCCCCCTTATTCAAAAAGCACCGACGCACTGAGGCGATGCAAAAATTAAGAAGGGTGGGCGCTTAAGTGGAATGTGCATTTTTCAGACTCTAGTCAGCTTTGGGAAAAACATGGGTCCATAAATTTTATTCGTTCCTCTTTAGGCACAGAAAAAGAAGAATGTTACAGACAAACTTTGACATTGAAGTAACTTTTTTTTCTCTGTAGTTTCCGAAATTATGAGACAAACGTTTAGTAGTACCCGACGGAACAAAAACTCTGTCCATGTTAACATCTGTTGAAAAGTTCCGCAGTCATCTCGGGACTTCATTTCGAAAGTGTATGAAAGCAGCCCGCGAACGCGATACGCTGACCGGGCGGCAGTCCTGTGCGCGGCGCACGGGCGGCAGTGCGACATGGGGGGCGGCCCGGCGGCGGCCAGGACGCGACCAGGATGCCGTCTGTGCTGGCCGCCACCCTGCTGCTCCTGCTCGTCAACGGTAGCCAGGCGACGGGCGGCGGCGGCGGGCGCGGCCACCACCAGCAGCACGAGCGAGGCACACCGGCCACCAAGGAGAGGGAGAAGTGGGAGGCGTGTGCCAAGGACCGCCAGGTGAGTCCCCGAGCACCTCGGGGCAGGCCGAACAACACCCTCCTCCACCACCACCCTAACTGACCCGCGGCCCCCGGCCCCCTCGTGTTGCAGTGCCTCGACGCCGACTGCAGCAGCTGCACAGACGATGTGAGCTTTTATGGAGAATTTTTCGATTTATCTTAAAATTTTGAATATCAATATAAATTTTGCATTTTTCAAAATGTAAATTGTAAATTGACAACTTAAAAAGTTGTAATTTTGGGGCTCAGATCCGGCCGGGCTCATGTCCTTGTACCTGTAGTTTTACAATTTGTAAAATTTACAATTTACTATTTCTAAAATTAAAAATATACGATTTTCAAAATTGAAAATTTACAATATATAAAATTTTTACAATTGTAGAATTTTTACAATTGATTTTTTTTTTAAATTGTGACTGTTAAAATTTATAAAGTTTGTAAAATTCGTTTACGTCCAAGTTGTTGTGGTAGGACTTGCCGTGCCAGCGCACGTGCGTGTGGAAGTGCCTGTGCGGCTGCGGGGGCCGGCCGTGGGGCGACAAGGGCTACCTCGTGTGGGAGAAGTGCTACGCGGGCTGCAAGCGCGGCCACAAGGCGTGCCGGTCGGGGTGCGGCGACGCCGCGCAGCACGAGGACTGCGCGGACGCGTGCTGGCTGGAGCGCAACAAGTGCAGCTGCCAGTGCAGCCAGGCCGTGAGCGCGACGACGCCAGCCAGAGACCGAACCTAGCGCACCCAGAAGACCGTAACTTTGACTTGACGAAATCACGAACTGACGATATTTTCGTTAATTAGAAGAAAAAATTTCTTTAGCTCAAACAAAATTTGATCAATCTAACAAAACTTGCGTTGTGTAAAAGAAATTTTTTCGTTCAATGAACGAAAAAGTTTTCTTTGGTTTCTGGCACGAAATTTTCGCCGAATGAAATAAAATTTCTTTAATTCAAAGAAACGGTTTTCTGGGTGCAACTGTGTTGGCGAACGACACAAACGATGCCAGGTAATTTTTAATGCATTGTTTTCGACATACAATTCTCGTGTTTTCTTGTTGCTTTCTATTTTGCTTCAAACAACTACGCCCTCACAAAAATTCGTTGCTTTTCAGTTTTCAGCGCGATAAACCACTATTTCCTATTACTCTGTGGCTCTGGCTCGGAGAAGTGTTGACGTCGTGAGTGCACCCCCAGCGCCGCGGCTGCGTGGCGGCGAAAGCGAAAAGACTGTTCGGCTGGCAATGATCTAACGCCTAACTGTTGACTGGTTTGGAAGAACGTTCGTGCGTGGGCAATATATCACCTCTGCTAAATGACCAACACAGATATACTACCAGAAAAAAGGTTTTAAAACTGTTAAAACAATAAAGAAAATCAGAAAACAACCATAGGATTCTTGGCAAAGAAATGTCTATAGAGTTGAACTTTTCTCTACTACCGCCGCAACAGTACTAAGGCGTGTGTCGCTAAGCGGCGTCAGTATGCGGGTTTACCTACTTGCTCCACCCATAAGGCGCCATTGCCTACAGAGAAGGCAAACCTACAACACTGGTTAGTGTGTCGTAGCCGTAGCCCTGACATATTGTATACGTACTGGGTGTCCAGGCTAAGACATATGGCAGTACGATGGGTTGCCTATGCACTGGCTGAGGAGCTGCAGGCGGGTGTAGGGGGAGCTGCCACTTCCCCGCCAATAGGCAACCCAACTTGCTGTTGTGACTAAGACTGGATAACACTGGCACATGCTCAAACCCGCTCAATCCTCTATGGATTAATTTGTTTTGCACAAATCATCCTCTGGCTTCTAATTACACAGGCATGGCATAATGGATTTTCAGAGCAGCTATACCTGATTTTAGAAGGCGTGCCCGCGCGAGTATGCCACGTCCTCGCGTGCCTAAACCACGAATCGACACACGCACGCACGCATGCGCTCGCGCACACAAACACACACACACACACACACAGATGCAGATGCCCACACACACATACACATACACATGCAGCTGCGGGGATCAGTCCCTGAGCCTGCTGGGCTTCTCCTGATGAGCGCCCGTGTTCATACCTCACGCACCTCTCATGATAGTGTGTGTGTGGAGGGAGGAGGGGGGGAGGGGGTCGAAAGGGGTTGGAGGGGAGAGTAGAAGGGTAGCCAGAGAGGGTGGACGTCCAGAGAAAACAAACATTCCCGCACCAGGAGGAAAAACAGAGCAATGCTCCAGCTAATTACACATCTCCCATCCAGCTGCGCGCCTCAACCCTGAGCCAGACCGAAGAGCGTCCGGGGGGAGGGGGGGAGGGTGTACACCTCACAGGGAAAGAAGAGCGGCGTTCGGTTTCACAAAAGTCACTATTCACCGTACCTTCGCCCCAGCCCCACGCCCC